CATAATACACACCCCACCACACACACACACACACACACACACACACACACACACACACAATCCTGTCACACACACCTACCATCACACCCCCAACCCTATCACGAACACCAAGAACGTCAGGGTAAAAACCTGTCCTAGACTTCTAGTGCCAGGGGGACAGTGGGAAACAGAGTCTGATCCCAAAGTCCTGAGGTGAAAGGAAGGAGTAGGGTGGAGGCAGGGAGTAGAGGAGGTTCTGGAGGTTCCGATCCCCCTCTCTCACAGGCCCTCCCCAGTTCCCCCTGCATCCCTCCCTCCAGGGTCCCTGCAGCTGGGGTGAGGCCCAGCTGGTGATGCCCAGCCCAATCTGGCAGCAGGGACACAGGAGACCCCACCACCACCAAATCCAGAAGTTCTGGCTAGATTTCAAGCCCCTAGCTCTGTCCAACCCTCACCCAGTCTCCAAGGGCCGCCAACACCCATGGGGCCAACACTGCCCCTCACTTCAAAAATAAAAATTTAAAAATTCCCACCCGGAGATAATTACTTTCTCCTCCTTTTGCCTATTGTGGCTCCGCGGTCCAGCATGAGAAGCAATTATTCACGGCTAATGATTATAATCAAGTCAAATAGAATTTAATGGACACATATTCTCTTCCTGCTTGAAACTTTACATATGAATTAAGCACATATGGGTTCACGAGGCACAGACATAGATTTATGCAGCCCTAAGAAGCCCTGCGTTGCCTAAGACTTTTATTCTGCTAATAAACAGGCTGATTTATGGGCTCCGAAGATGCGCGATCTCTGCTGCCCCCTGGTGGCCGGCAGCACCAAGGTGGAGCCACAGCGGTGGGGACACTCCGGAGTGTGAGGGGTAAGATCCCCCCCAGGGCACCCGAAGTCTGACCTGCACCAAAGCTGCCCTAAGGCCTGGGCTCAGGCTCTGTGTGGGAACCCCATGTCCAAGCCCTCACAGCCATTCTCTGGGGCTCTTGATGCGTCCTGGGTGCTCAGGGCTAAGACTAGAAAAAAAGAACTCTAAGGAAAACATGCCAGCAGGGGCTGAGTAAACCGAGGCAAGCAGGGAGAGGTGAAAACTGGCCACGGGCATCTCTAGGTGGGGTGAACACCAGGAGGACACCAAGGGCACCGATTCCAGCCCCAAGCCCACAGCAGTGATGAGCCCCTGGATTTACGGTGTCATTCATGCCTCAGCATCCCCACAAATGGACGGTAGTCTTCTATCATCCCCACAGTACAGAGGAGGAAAGGAGGCCACGCAAGCATGGAGAGAAGCAGAGTCCCCACAGAAACTGCAAACACCGTCCCATGCACCAGCACCACCGGATAGAGCCAGCACTAAAGTGCTTCTTGGGCTAAGGAGCAGACAGAGCCACTGCACCCATCTGACCAGTTACGGGGCGCTCAGGAGGAGCCATTAATTGTCCCATGGCCTCCGTCCTGCTCCATCTGCATCCTGTGACACTGCCTTGGTCCTGGGGCCCCTCAGGGCACACACCACTACCAACCGGGCTGGAAAGGAGCTCCCGAGATGCCCACTTCCCCTCCAGCCACTTTGCAGCTCAGCAGAAGTATCAATTGGACACCTCCCTGACCTTCACCGGTGACTGACAGGGCCAGGCATCAGGTGGGCCTTGTTGGCCTTCGTGAGCATCCCTCGGCCAGCCTAGGCCACGTCACAGACAGGCAGCAAGAATGCCCTTCTCCCTGGGCCACCATGGTGTCTGAGGCTCCCAGATGGACTCACACCCGTGCCAGCCTCCCGGGGGGCCACTCACCAGAATCACCAGAACCCCAAAGGTGGCCCTCTGCTCCTCCCCACCATCCACACTGAGTGGGAACTCCTGTCTGCAGGTGACTTGTTCCCCATGTACCTGCGGCAGGCCCTCTTGTCCGGGGCTTCACCTCAGAGTGAAGACCCTGCCATGCCTGCTCCTCCCCACCTGTGCAGGCTCGGCCCCTCCCCCACAAGAGCTTCTGGATCTCCTTCTGTCTCTCTTCCTTCTGGCTTGCAGTCAGAATAAGGGCAGAAGTGGCTGCTCGCCCTGCCCCGGTCCTCCTGCTTGTGGCCTCGGTGGCGTCTCTGGCAGTGGTATCGCTCTGCATTTCTGTCTGCCCCGGTGGGGGAGGGGCCCCGGGAAGGAGGCGGGTGGGGGCAGAGCGAGAGAGCCAGCTGGCTCAGCCCTCGCCGCACCTGACCTCAGTCCATGAGCACCTGCCTGTCCACTGGACTTGACCGGTCCTTGCCATCCCACTCCAGAGACCTCCCTGTGAGCCTGTCCACCTCAACCAGACACCACCACAGGCTGAGTGGAGCAGCAGAGCCTGACCCCTCCCCCAAAGACTGCACTCATCACAATAAACTGCCAAGCCAGCAAGAGGCG